TATATACATCATGTGTATTGGTTCAGTAGCCTAATCTACAAGAATTTATGTGTTGTAGATGACTGAATGTTACATATATTCAATCAAACAATCAGAAGTTAATGCGACAATCTACACTACACATACAAAATCACAGTATATCAACCACAGTACACACACAATGTGTAATAACTAACTAATAAAAATTATTCTTAAGAACAGATTTACACACACGCACACACACACACTGTCATACGTAAACAATTTGTCAATAAAAACATAGTCATCAATAGGTTGATACATTAAAAACAACTAAGCTAATCAATTTTCTTGTAACAAACATGCATATTTTTGTTTATAATAACAAGAATGTATGCTAATTTATAGTCAAAAGTCAATAGATACTTATTTATTTATTGTAACAACAACAAACAGTTTATGAAATTGATTATTGAATAAATGTTACATTACAGTACAAAGTTTAAGAGCTTATTAACTGATTGAATGTTTTAATTTATGGGAAAACAAATATTACTTTTTATCAGTAAATCAGTCAGTTACAACGTAGAACTTCGTACGTACGTACCTCTGTTCAAGTTACCATACCACATTAGCACAGAGAGATGGAATTGTCAATTCAAATCCCATAGTGATAGAGATAGTAGAAGTATTACTGGTAATCGGGAATATTAGGATTCCAATATATTATTCAAGAAGTACAATTCAGAGAGATAAATTTGGGAAGAGAAAGATAGAGATGATGAGGAATTCAAAAGATTAGAATTTCATAGAACACAAAAAGTGAATGCACCTTGCGCCATTGCAAACGATTTTGAACCATGTCATTTAAGGTCTATAACCATTGGTGACTTTGGTCTCGCGGACCCCAACCAGGTAGTCTGCATGTACCAACATGACTCAGTCCACTTGTCAGTGACTCAGTCAACTTAGTCAACTATACCACATCAAATATTTAAAAAGATTCATCTAATTTAATATTCACTGATCGACAACTGTTAGATGGTAGAATGATTTAACAGGAACTCTTAACAATTACACTTATTCAATAAGCGACTTGGTTTATGACTTCATTTTCCAGTTACACATTTTTTTTTAAAAAAAAAAAAAAAGGAATCACAACAATTCAACCTGTTTGAAGTCCGATTAACCGAATACAGATTTATCAGTCATTAATATTTGTCCAAGAGATAGTTGTACAAACAAACCAGCAACCCCAAAACCTGTGACCAAATGATTCAAGTGACTTTAAATAACTATCAATGCATTGTTCTTAACTAACTTATTAAGATCAGTGGATATACACACATGGAAAAACCCTGTGTCTATGCATTTAGTTGACGAAATCCTAACTCATAAGACTTTGCAAATAAAAGTCATTTGATTTAGTCATAGTCAATAGTCACTTTAATGTTTTCTGATGGGAACAACTATAACACCAACATTATACAATTAAAAATTTTTAGAAACAATCAACTTTCTAAAAAACATTCGAATAAATACGTTAGCATAATAATATCGCTATGAATTTCAAGTCTATATGGTTGAGCGCCCGCCACAAGAATTGAAAGCCTATCTTTCCAATTCTCGGTGGTTTCATTAGATGCGTACTTCTGAGAAGTCCTTATAGCACCAGTGTGGTGCTGTGGTGCGATCTACTTATAAGTAGTATATGACGTGAGTGTCAACGTAATGTCTGGCAGCAGAAGATAGGGGAAGATCAAGAAAGGAAGAGTTAGAAGAACACAATGGAATTTGTATGAAACGCATGAATAGTGAAATGTCAGACGATGGATTGATGTTTTGCAACAGGAACAGTCCAGTTCGATAGGATGATGGAGTGATATTTTGCAAATTAACGATTTACGATATGGTTTTCCAATTTTACTACTGAGTAACGCTGTAATTTTCGTTAAATACAATTTGGTTGCCCTCACCTGTGTTCTCGTTCACTACACTAGGACGTAACAGCTTTCGGATGGATGCTACCTGGCTTTTAATGGTGCTTTAACTTTGGTTGATTCGTACTCTCAGAAACAGATATACATATATATACATACATGCATGACAGAGTGACAAAGGTGAAAGTACAACAACTAAGTTTATGATAAATAAAACAGGGTGTGGTAAAAATAAAGAGCGTAAAATAAAATCTATTTTAATTACATGAAAGAAAAAAAAAGTTTCAAAAACGTACTGATGATGAATACTTTTTTTTCAAGGTTTAAATTACATTTTTTTTGGAAAAAAAAATGCTTAGGCTGCTATGCACATACAAAATACTAATGTGTATGTCTAAATTTTAGATCAAACACATACACGCACACACAAATCAGTAGTGATCAGAGCAGTTCAATAAAATTTGACATCGGTGTATAATACATCAAAAGTTGGTAATGTAATTATTCAGAAAATAGAAAAATCCTGCTCTAAAAAAATGCATTAGATGCTCGTCACTTAGGAAAAGAGAAGAGAAGGGAGAACTTGACACTCACAGATCATTGAGCAACAATCATCAGAAAGCTGATCGATAAAATCGGATGATTGCAAAGACCCATTATGTTAAAACAACAGTAGTTGATGTGTATATAGTGAACATCCAGTGTGGAAACATATCTTATTCCAAGAGAAGTTCGATTACAGCTTGAATAACTTACTCACTACTCACATACTTACGCCTGTTACCCCCAATGAAGCATTGACCGCTCACCAGTTTTCTCCAACCAACTCTGTCATGGGCTACCCTCTCCAGTTCTGTCCAATGTTTGTTCATTCCTCTCATATCTTTCTCTATTTCTCGGCTTAATGTGTTCTTTGGCCTTCCTCTTTTCCTTTTACCTTCAGGGTTCCATGTGAGGGCTTGTCTCGTGACGCAGTTAGGTGCTTTTCGTAGTGTGTGTCCTATCCACTTCCACCGCTTCTTCCTGATTTCCTCCTCCACTGAAAGAGTCTGGTTTGTTCTCTGCCACAGTAAGTTGTTGCTGATGGTGTCTGGCCAACGAATCCGAAGTATTTTGCGTAGACAACTGTTAATAAACACTTGTATCTTCTGGATGATGACTTTAGTAGTTCTCCATGTTTCCGCTACATTCATTAGATCTGTCTTGATATTTATATTGAAAATCCTGATTTTGGTTTTGGTTGAAATTTGTTTGAAGTTCCAGATATTTTTCAATTGTAGAAATGCAGCCCTTGCTTTGCCAATCTGCACCATCACATCTGCATCAGATCCACCTTTCTCGTCGATGATGCCGCCCACATATGTGAAGGTGTTAACGTCCTCCAAGGTATCTCCATCAAGAGTGTGTGATTCGGTTGGTGCATGTTGTGTTGCATCGGAGAATTTTGCTTTTTCCTTTATGTATGTATGTTGAGACCTACTGCTGCAGAGGCTTCTGCTACACTGGTCGTCTTCTCTTGCATTTGTTGTTGCGTGTGCGATAGAATAGCCAGGTCATCTGCAAAGTCTAGGTCGTCCAGCTGCGTCCTAGCTGTCCAGTTGATACAGTGCTTCCCTCCAGATGCTGACGTCTTCATAATCCAGTCGATCACTAGGTGAAATAGGTTTGAAGAAAATCTCAGTACTAAGTGCCTGCTAAGTACCTAACACGAAATCTATATCTAGTGGCTTTTTATCTACTAACTTAGATAAGAAAACCGTTAAAAAATGTTCAAACCGTGACAGTACAAAGATTGTTGACAAACCATTAGAACTTTATATCAACAAAACAAGCTGTGGAATGAATAGCTTTCATAGATTAATTCAAATAAAGTTTATTTTGGCAATGTTGTTGCCAACATTCAAGAAGACTTCATAATGAAACTATTGAAAACTAGAAAAAGTATAGAGCACATAGGCAACACTAGAATTCGTTTTCTTGCATTGAAAACACAAAAACACTTTCATCATAAAATGAATTATTTGCAAGCCAATGAAAATATTTAAGATAAACATATATACATTAGAATAACACAATAGATAAGCGAACAATATTGTTGTTTTGATTAGATCGTCATCAGGCTGCTTTACTCTCTCTAATATACATGAATATTTATGTATATGAAAATGTTAAAACCAATCAAGGCAATTTATTATGAGTCAGTAATCACAATGAAATGAAAAAGGCCAAAAGTACAACAAGTGGATAGTAGGAAGACAGAGGTGTACTGATAGTAGTAGGAAAATTTATAAAATATGATAACTAAAGTAGGTCAACAACAATTATTACAGACAAATAGACGATATAGCCATGGGTTCACCTCTTGGCCCAATTCTAGCTGATCTCTTTCTAGCAAAGCTAGAAAATGGACCACTAAATGAAACTATTTAGAAACTTGATCTATATTGCCGTTACGTCGATGACACATTCATCATTGTAGATCAGGAAATCAGAAAAGATAAA